TAAGTTCTACGCAGAACCAATCAAGGTGATGCTTCCTGTTCCTACTGTGGCTGCAGTTGAAATTTTGAAAATTTTCTTTTCTCAGGATCAAAGATCAAAAGTAACCTTGTATCGGTTTCTTTATATGAGTAATTCAGATGAAAATCACAAGGGTTTCAAGACGTTTTTGTATGATAACCTTCCGAGGAATACTGGTCTTCACATTCTCAGTATCATCGAGCAACTCTCTGATGTTTTGAACTGTTCTTTGGATACAATTGTTGCTGCCATGAACATAGGTGAAATGAGGCAACAAGTGAAATGTTTGCGTGAGGTATTGAAAATACTGAAAGAAAATGATGAGAATCATAGACTTAGTATGTGGAGATATGGGAGGATATTCAGTGGAGGATTTATGAGTGATCTTCAAACAAAATCATGTCTAAAGATTGTCTATATATTAGCAGAGGCACTCAGATCTGAGGCTCCAGAAGAACACAGTGGGATTTTGCAGATTGCTCAATTTGCAGACATTAGCGCGGAAAATAAAAGGAACTACGCAAGTATGGCTCAGCGGCTTTTGATCTATCTCAAAAATCAAAACCCTCGCAGCATTTAGCTTCTTTGATTTCTAGTCTTGAATATGTAGTGCTATATCTATGTCTAGTTTAGTAATCTTTAATTTGCTCTCTTTCTGATGTTTCTCAGTTTTGTCTGATTTTGCCTATATATATATATATATATATATATATATATATATATATATATATATATATATATATATATATATATATATATATATATATATTAGAGAGAGAGAGAGAGAGAGAGAGAAACTTTGGATGCTGCAGAAAACCATAAAATAACAGTTTGTTTGTTTGTTTTAGTATCATAGATTTGGAATAAAAAGTAGTATTAATATGTGTGTGTTGTGCTATTAAGATTCTTTGAAGTACATGGCATGAACAGAAGAACAAAATTAATGACTCTTTGATCTGAAATTTCCTGTTATAGATCATAAAAGCAAGCTGTAATGTGAAAAGGTAAAATTGTATTAATATATTACCTTTTTAAAAATAAAAATCTTTATATTTGATTTTGGGGTCGTGAGAAAGAAACACAGCAATTGATGGAAGTGGAACAAAGTTGATCGGGTGGAATGAAAACTTGGTACTGGATCTCTTAATGGTCACCAGAACTAAAAAACTATGAAATCAAAAATAGTGGTAAATGACTTAACAATTTTGTAGTTGTATTTAATTATAATTGCAAATGAGTTTTATAGATTAAAATTTGCAGGGCTAACTTTTACGAATGGTAAATTATTTTACGTATAAATTGGTCACCATGCACCAATATAATTATAAGATAACATAGATGTATATTCAATTATTTTGTTAAAGAAATTGTGTGTGTTTTTAAGAGAAAATAAGCTGAAACTTTCAAGATGGAAAGATAATAGTTTTTCGAGGAAATTACACGAATTGTCAATGTAAAAATTTAAATACTTATGGGCTAGTTGTGACAAAAATAACAGGGGGGCCCATGGCCCCTCTTGACCCTCATAAAGATCCGTCCCTGGGTTAGCAGGGGCGGAACACAAAAATTTGTACAGGATGAAACTAAAACTTTAAAAGAAACACTAAAAAAATTTATTCGATTCAACCTAATAAAATATGAAAAAATCAAACAAAAAAAATAATATAAAATAATCTAACATTGCTCAATAAAGTGGATTCGTCTATCTTTTACGTCTTTAAAGTCTTGCACAATCGTCTCTAAAGTTGTCGTTTTTGCTAGCTCCCTTTCGAAGTACAAAGCTAATGAGTCGTTCAAAAATTCAACTTCCATTTTATTTTGTAGCCTTGTTTTAACAAGATTCCTTACTAAAAATGATCTCTTTGTTGTAGTAGTGGAAACAAAAAGAGTGAGTATAAGACTAACTACTCGATAAATAAGATAAAATTTGGTTGCTCTTCTAATCTTTATCAACCATTGACACAATTCTGAAATAGATATCGATTGTTTATAATTTGCATGTTGAACGACGTCCACCTCGTAATGTTGGAATTGCATCTTCAAAAGATTTTTCACGGTTTCATTGAAATTTTAAGGATAAAACTTTTCACCTAATTGACATACATCACCATTCGAAAAAGCTCTTTATAATTTTTAGGATCTAAAGTTGTTGAAAGATGGAGTAACTCCATCGAGCTATCATTGGATCGATGATCTAATTCCATTAACTGACAGTTAATCGCTTCGATGAAAATATCTACTCGATAATGATGTTCAAGTTTATGATCGCTATGCTCATTGCGAGCTCGAGCCCCTCTACTAAAGTAAGAAGAAGACAAATCAAGGATATCGATGTTGCGTTCAAGACAAAATGACTTAACATGAAAGAGAGAACTATCCCATCTTTCATCTTTCATTTTTTGCAATAACAATTTCGTGGATTCAACTAGCGTCAATGCATTCAAAATATGCCATTTGTTTGGCTTGTGCATCTTTTAGTTGGTCGGAGCGCTTGGAAGAACCACCAACAAAAGATAATTTGGTAAAAAACTTTTGCACTACAATAACTCCTTTTTAAACTGCCATTAATGCTAATTGCAATCGATGAGCAAACCAATGAACATAAGTTGCCATTAAACTTGTTGTTTGGTGTTTCTTTTATAGAGTTTTAGTTTCTTAAAATTAGTATCCTAATTTTATTAGATTTGTTATTCGTTTTTTCAACAAATTTCTGCCTTCTGTTAGAACGGATTTACGTGCCTAATAATCAATAATAACCGATTTGCTGATTATGCATTGTTTTTGAAATATTTTTTTTCAATAACATATATATCCTTCAAGAAGTTTATTAAACAATGAATCTATTATTGAATATATAATATAGGTTTCCAAAAATTAAATAGGCTCCAATCCCGGAACTTAGGGTTTTCTCTGCCCAATACCTACTCGGCGAGTCCATACTTGGACTCGTCGAGTTCGCTCATTAAATCCTCGTGATCAACTCGACATGACTCGACAAGTCAAACCTACGAATCGTCGAGTCCATCCTAATTCCTCACAATTGAGACACGCACTTTCATACCCGAAATTCCGGATGTTACAATATGTCCCGAGGTTATAGTCGTATTTCCTAATGAATTACTAATTCTCTATAACCCTTATGCTATGATACCAATCTGTCACACCCCCGGCCTGGTGGCGGAAACATCGAGCGGCATGACGTTTAGGATGTTGACTCATAGATGAGGCTTTTGCATTGAGTTTTGTCTTAACCACCACCCTCTTTGATAAACAGTGAGTTATCCATACCCTTTGGCTGAAAGATCTTTTGTCTCTGTTAATGACCTAGGAATACATATGAGTTTTTGAAATGTCAACATAATGTTGGTGTGTTCACAAGTTTTGTATGCATGAAAAATACTTTGTCAAGTTTGTTAAGTCATCTCTTGTTGTGTTCTTAACCTATGTCAGTATGTTAATGTACTTCCTAGAATTTTGGTATTGGGATTCAAACAGTTTAGTGACTGGATATGATCTTGATTTTTCTGGATAAAGGTGTATCATTTTGCTTTTATTGGTATTTCTAAATCCCTTGATGGTATTCTGGTAATGTTCATCTAATATTTCCTTTAAGAAATTGTGTGTACTATTTCTCAAGGGTTTCCTTGGGGATAGTGGATTTGTGTTTTATGAGTGTAATTTGAGCTTGTATCCTCGAGTTTGGGTATACTATCACAACTTGATTTATTAGTAGTATATGATAGTAAATTTTAGTTCAACAAAGTTATGATGAGTTCCTATAATCGATCTATGACTATTGATCCCAAAACCACGATGCTTCATCGGATGTCACAAACGTGTTTAGAAAGTTATGCCTACTTCGACTTTCCGTCAAGTTGTAGCGAGCAACCACATGTAGGAGTGTCAATCCCATATAGATCTATACATATCTCTCCCACTTACTTAAGACTTAACGACTATAGGCCAGGAGCTAGCTGAAAATTTATCAACATGTTGATGAATCGTGTCTCGTCAACTCTTATGGGCCTCCCCTGCTCGGTCATGTTGTTATCCGTGTTGTATTTATATGGTTTTACTTATTTTATATATATATATATATATATATATATATATATATATATATATATATTATTTATCTTATATGTATATATAATTAGTGTGTTTTTGCATAGCCGAGCATTTAGGCAAATTAACACTAGGTACTAAGCTTATCCAAAGGGTGGCTATAACAACGATTCGAGTATCAGCGTTTCTTGACAACTAGCCAGCGTAACAACTAGTGATGATCTTATCTATCATTGTGATTCGGTATAACAACTATGCATCATATTAGATAAAATATTATGGCAGAGTATCTACTAGGCATAATATCATCCTAATATTATAAGCATAATTATCTAACTATAGTTAGTAATAACTATGTGTAGTTGCATTTTTAACGGTCGTAAAATCACCTATAATTCATGAAATCGTTGATGTAGGGTAGAAAAACAACAAGTTTGGCACTTTAGAGGTGCTCGGGAGTTATTGACACGAAATTTAAGAGAAAGTGAGAGAAAGAGAGAGAGAGAGAGAGAGAGAGAGAGAGAGAGATGTTGAGGGGTGAGAAAGAGATCGACTTAAGCTTGTGTTTATAGAGTTTTTGGTCTACACGTCACGCATTACGTTCTGCGCAATATACATACGAACTATCTGACACATGTCCTCTACCCATGGTGTCACGTCATCCGTGTCTTGGAGGATCAAAATGTGTGTTGCGCGTTGCGCACAAGTACACATGAGGATGTTTTCTAATCTTTGAAAATTCGTAACTCTCACGTACAAACTCCGTGGTATACGAATCTTATATATCTTTGTAGGTCTCATCGTTTTCTACAATTTTCCTTTTGGTCGTTTTGACCAGTTTTGACTTTTGTTTTTCGACTAATTTTTATTACCCATGATTTATTTAAAATCAAACCTTTTCTCATACGATTTCTGTTTTACACAATCTTTGTTCTATAGTTTCTACTTTAAGTAGTACTACGATTTCCTACTTAACGACTTTTACAAAAGCCAACCATTCTCTTTTTAGTTTTTGTCATTGTAACTTTTGAAGTACGGTAGAATTTTATTTATTACAAAAGTAATATCTCACTCATACTGTGTCGGGTTTCTACGAAGTCCACATCCTTGAAATCACGATGACGATTATATCCTAAAAATGTAAACCAACTTTCAAGTTGACACGATTTTTTATGCTTATATTTTTTAGCCTAAGCTTTGACGTCAATAAGGGTGATAGTCGAATATATTGACATATACTAGGTATTTACAAGATCGTTCTTATTGTATTATCGTGTTTTGTTGTTAGCTATTAACGATAGTGGATGAAGTATTTTTCGGATTGTCACAAACCAGTCCTATCCGAACCCGGTTTGGAACCAGAATCAATTTAGACTGATAATGAGAACTGATAATTAGGACTACACTGATTCCAGTTCCAATCCTGATTTTCGGTCAAATGCCTAGTTGGAACCGGTGTTTATGTAGTTTATATAATTAGTTAACGCTTTGAGTCAAAATGATTAGAACAATACCAAATCAACCAACAAATGTTAACTCAATATATAAAGAAATAAGGTGTTTATATAATTTAAAATGAAGTACAACATAAATTCAACTTTGATAGCCTATGTCTCGACCGTTACACGTAGCTTAATAAATATATAACCAAATAAGATGTTTATATAGTCTAAAATGAAGTACACACAGTAAACTACATGTTGAAAAAATCATGGCATTTCGACTTCAAACGAAGGAGTTTTAGCAGTTTAGAGAAGATGAAAGATTCAATAGGTTTAGGCTCAATCTGAAACACCTATCTTACGAGCTAGTAGAAATACAGTTCAAACAAATTCATAATGATGTAATGTGAACATTCCAAACAAGTTAAATGACAATATATGGACAAAAGTAACTTAAGGGACTAAATATGAACAAAATCTAAACTATGTCACATATACCAACCGGTCATATGATGTAATTTGAACCGTCCAAACAAATTCAATGGTAGCATATAGACAAAAAAACTAAAATGACTAAATGTGAACAAAACTTAAACTATGTTCATTTAAAAGCTCCTTCAAAACACACAAAAATTAATAAAAGTAATTAGATGTGACTAGTATCTCGTAATCAACAATTATGGTCAGCCATCACTCAAAAGCTTACTTATTTTCAATTAACCCTACTCCTAGTTTTCCCCGTTAGATTCACACAAAGAGTCGTTGGTTGGGAATCGAACTCAGAGACTTTTCGATAATTAGATTTAGATTGTAATTATGTTGATGACGATGGAAATTTTGAAGACGAATATCCAAATCAATGGCTTAACATTCTTGGAGACTTCATTAACGGTGTTTGGATTTTTAAGTTAAATTTTTTAGTCATGAAACTAGGAATTAAAAGTTGTGACCTTTATTGACAATGCCTAGTGTGGGTATCATTTGGGTGGTTCCTTATAGTGTTAGCTATTATCATCGGTTAATCAGCGTTTTCTATGTTATTTCAAACGTTACAGGAAGACCAAATAATAAAATAAGACGTCAAGGTAAGATCAAAATGAAACAATCTCGGTCGTTGTGACGAGGTAGTGCAAGCCATGTGGACATAGATGAAGAGAAGAAGAGTATCTGAGAGGATAAAGAAATAAGGCAGTTGGGTATCAAACACGACTCGAAAAAATGTTATAGTGCTATAAGATTATACATAAAATATGAATACTCTTATTTTATGATTAAGTTTAGTTCATTAAACTTGTAGTCATAAAATGGCATAATAGTCGATAACAAAAAATTAAAAATGATTATAAAATATTTAAATATGTTAAAATATATTTTTAGATAAATATGATATTTTAAAATTTGTAAATAGTAAATATGATATTTAGATATTTGTTTACGATATTTTAATGTAAAAAAAACATATACAAAATTTTCCTTTTGTTATTATTACATGTGCAAGTTGTTGCTTGCTTAATTTATTTTTTGTTTAAGAAACAATTTAAAATTCTAAAACGAGTTTTAAGTTTTAAGTTAAAAAGGTATTTTAAAATTTTATTATTGTTTTAAATAAAAACGTGTTTTGACGAATGTATTGTATGCATGCAATATTTTCGCAACAAAATTTGATTTTGTAAAATCATATCATATTATGCAAACATTAATTGGGAAATTTTCATTCATATCCTTGTAAAAATGAATATTACATCAATATCCTTTTAAACTTTAATATTAATATTATGTGTATATTCTTTTAAAACTATAAAAATTATATCAATAAACAAAATCAACTTTTAATTAGAATTATATCATTTTTTATTAATTTTTATCTAATATTCAAAATTATATATTAGTTTAATTTACCCTTTCCTAATTAAATCTCAAATTAAATCGCTCTTTCTTAAGTAAATCTCAAACTAAATCACGTAACATATTACAAATGCCTTTGCTTGCTTTTTCTTGGAGATTTTCAGAAGTAGCAATTTACTTGTAGCAAACTTATCATCTTCTCATTCAATACATTTGCTTGCCTCTTCTTGCATCTGTGAGAAGATTTGAAGATCATTTTTGACTAAACCGGAGTGACTACAAGCATATAGAAGTGAAAGAAATGTGATTTTGTTTGGTGTGATTTTGTTTTTGCACATGATGGGGAACAATTCAAAGTGCTTTTTTTTTCCTTGACCATGATACCCGTAAGTTGAAATCATTGTGCTCCATGTTATAACGTTTCTTTGTGGCATTTCATCAAACACTTGACGTATCTATGCTTCCACATTTTGCATACATGTCTATCATCGCAGTTCCTAGAATCACGTCTGGTAAGCGTTATTATGTTCTTATAAGTTCATGGATGAGTTTGGCTTTATAGATAGCACCTAATTTTGCACAAGCGTTTACAATTATCACCATGGAGACGTTATCCGACACTAAGCATGATTCTCGCATATGATCAAATAAAACCAAGGACTCTTTGGCTCTAACATAGAAACTAAAAACCACATTAAACATACATTTTTTTGGTAAATAAAAGAACTGTACTGATCATTTAGTATGATAGAAATGGAGAATGAATAGAATTGGCGATTCCATTTGAATGAAAAAAACTTAAGGGTGCATTGGTTGTGGAAAACTGTTTTCATTTTCTAAGAAAATATTTTCAGAAAATAAAGTTGAGTTTGTATTTTCAGTTTTAAATTAAACTTTTAGAAAACGCATTTGGTTGGTATCGATTGAGTTTTCATTTTCCATCTTAAAAATTTAGAAAACTTTGGAAAACTGTAAAAATCACTTTTCTAATTTACATACAATTTTGAAAACTGAAAATTTTCATTTTCTTAGAAAACTTTGGAAAATTGAACGAACTAAACACATTTTCAAAATTTCCGTTTTTCTTGGAAAATTTTCCTAGAAAACTGGAAAACTTTCTACAACCAAACACACCCTAACGGTTTCTTTTTCCATTCCATGATAACATGAAATGATAAATTGCAATATAACTATTTCGATTCATCTTGTTGTGATCATCATGAAGATGTAGCGATAGAGAAGAATCAGAAGATGTTATTTGATGCCACCTGATGCGATTAAGAAGAAGAGAGAGACCTGATGCGATTAAGAAGATGCCCTGTGATTTATTTTGGGATTAAATTAGAAAAAGGGTATTTTTGGTACACTTATATGTAATTTTGAATTTCATATAATTTTATTAATAAAATATTCATATAATTCTAATTAGAAATTGATTTGGATATTGATGTAATTTTTATAAATTTTAGAGGGATATACACGTAAATATTAAAGTTTATAAGATATTAAGACTGTGTTTGACGCGCCACAACTAGCTGATAAGCTAACTTATTTTTCGAACTTTTTTATGTTGTCGTGTTTGGCAGGCCAAAAAGTAGCTTATAAGCTAGCGTTTTGAAAAACTACTTAGACTAGCTTTTTATGAACTTTTTTAAAATTTTCCAAATATACCTTTTAATTAATTATAGAAACAAATACTCTTAAATGTACTTTTATGTAATTTTATATATTTCAGTTAGCTTTTCAGCTAGTTTTACCAAACATCATTTTTTATCAGTTAGTTTTTCAGCTATTAAGTTAGCTTTTTATTTAACAGCTAGCTTTTCAGCTATCAGTCAGCTTTTCAGCTAACAACTAGCTTTTCAGCTAGTATGTCAAACATAATCTAAGTAATATTGAGATTCTGAGAGGATACTAGGACGTGAATTAAATTTTCCCTTAATTAAATACTTAGGAAAGAGCTGTGGATTTGCCTGCTCCGAATGAGAGGATACTGAGTCTGTTGCATGTTGCAAGCATGCAGACTCAGAGAAACAAGTTGACGCAGACCACTACATTCGGTGCAAAGAGTTGAAGACATGACTGCAGACCTGTTAATACTACAAAAATTCTTGAAAATGGATATAACTTCTTGATAATCACAAATAACTTTCGATAACCATATTTTGTCATCTTATCCATTTCAAGTTTATTAATAGAGGAAATACTCCATTGTTTGGGACTCCAATTAAACCAAACATTGTAGACTCTCCTGAAACATTGCTTCTTTTTATGTTTGAATTGATAGTATTTGGTGGATCATATCATGATTAATTTTTATGGAACCTAGACATATAGGATTAAAATTTGAATGAACTCACACGATCCATCAAATATCCAAAAACTTGCTTATTACCAAACCGATCTTGTTTTGAACCTGTAATTTGCTAATAATATACAAATGGGGTATTCGGTTTCGTACCTAAGTACCTTTAGGTTGATTGTCTAGTTTGAACCAAACTAGTTTATATAGTTCAATACCATGTTTTAGGTTTATATTTTCAATATTTAAACAAAATCCTGTTTTTAATCCAACAAAATCTAAATAAAACTCTTAACTGAAGCAAACTTTTGTATATTTCAAAACCATGTTTTAGGTTTATATTTTCAATATTTAAACAAACCTAAGTACATTTAGATTGATTGTGTAGTTTGAACCAAAACTAGTTTATATTGTTCGGTTCCATCATTTCCGATTTTTTTTTTTTTTGGTTGCTTCTTACCTTCTTGGTCTAATCCGGTCTTTTCATACTGGATTTTGAGTTTTGACCCAATTAATGGTTGTGAAAAATCGTTAACAACATTTATATCGTAACATTTTATGTGTATATATATTTGTGTACTTTAGGTGAAAGTGAATACCAAAAACAAAATGAAAAAATGTTATTATGGCAAAGACGAGATGGAGTTTTCAATGATTGAATCAAGTTAGTAGAATAGTAGCGTGGATTAAAAATATGGCAATTGATCTCTTATTTAATTATATGTAGTAGTTATGTGTTTCTTTCTCACAAACCCAAAACCAAAAATTAGAAACTCTTGAAGATATAATAAATTCACAAATCTCGTTTATTTCAAATTAAAAACAAAGTACAACTTATCTTGCAAAAGGTACAACTCAATTTATAAGTAAATTTCAGGAATTTATGTTTTTTTGTCCACAAGCCACAGTCCAAAAATGGTTCTGTTATTTACATTATAACAACCACGACTTTTGGTCTTCTCTTCATGCTATATCACATGTCATGTACTTCCAAAGAATCTTAATAATACACCACACACACACGTTAATACTACATATCATTCCAAATCTATGACATTAAAACAAACAAACTGTTTTTCTATGTTTTTTGCAGCATCCAAAGTCTCTCAAACTGTTCTTCACTCCTACTTTTCAACCAAAAAACTTCATCACCTTCGTCTTGGTCATAATTTTGACCATTTCCGTTCTTTCAATTCCCTTTTTCTTAACATCCAAGTTATGAGAATTTCTTTTCTTTACTATTTTTTCTTTTCTTTTTTGGGTGATTTTGACCAATTAGAATGGAGAAAATGAGAGGATAACTTCCTACAGTAAAGTGGGTCAGCTTCTGATGAAAGGTTAATTCACTACCTATTCATAAATCTCATTTATTTTTTGTATAATGTAGGGATGTGTTCTTCACATAAAAAGTGTATGTAAAGGTGACTCCATCCATGAAATTTGATCTACCAATTCAAATCACGAAAGGGTTGATCATCTTTTATAGTTTCTTTTTTCAATCTTATGAAGATTGAATGATGGAATAGCAGATGAAGATGAAGATGAAGGATACCAGGAAATCTTTCAAGAGTTTATCCAAAACAATCCATTCGCTTTTGGGATTCAAGAACGAAATTAATTCTTCATGGGCTAATACAGTTTGTGACATCATCAAAAGCTTGCCATCAACAGCTGACTATGAGAACGAGAATGATTATGATGATGATCTTGATGATTTTCTTGTTTCACAAATTCATGGTAAATTGTCTTTCAATCAATGGTTCATATGCAAAAAGATAACAATGTTCTTTCATTGATTTGTTTATTATAGAATCCAATTAGAGCATTAACTAACTGAGTAGATTATTCAAAGTATCTCATCTTAATAAAAGAAATTGAAAGTACAATGTTGTCATCAGGTGAGCTTGCCACCATGAATGAGGAGGTTTTTCGATTGAATGCAAAAAGAAGACAAGTTCTCAATCAATATCTTCAATTAAAAGGTAATAAAAAAATCTAAATAATCAATTATAAACACTTATGTATATTTATAATACTCTACTTAATTTCCATTTTAGGAAACATTCGTGTATTTTGTCGCATCAGACCAACGATAAATGGCGAGAAATTTAGCCATTTAAAGCCCGTTGTACCTCTCGATTCAAGTGGAATTCTCCTCAATTTAACTGAAAACAAAACAAAATTATACAACTTTGACAAGGTTTTTCACCCTACTTCATCACAAGGTGCTTTAAATTCTCTTTCTTGTGAATTATGATCCCTTCCCTTCTATCCACATTTTAAAAACCTAACAAATAAACTCTCTTTTTATTAAAATTTCAGATGAAGTATTTTCAGAAATTGAACCCGTTATTAAATCCGCTTTAGATGGATACAATGTTTGCATTCTAGCATACGGGCAAACAGGCACCGGCAAAACTTTCACCATGGTAACTCCTTAAAATAGCTATAAAAGTCGCATATGGTGTTTTATATTTTCTTTTTATCTTTTTATTTAAATAAGTTTTTTTAAAAAAAAAAAAAAACCATTTATAGGAAGGAAATGAAGATTTTCCAGGCGTAGTACCCCGAACAATTGAGGCGTTATTCAAACAAGCAACAGATAGCAACCATACGTATCTATTTAGTTTCAGTATGCTTGAAATCTACCTTGGTCATCTCAAAGATTTGTTAATACCTCATGCAAGAAAAACAAGTGACCCTATGCCACCTTGGTATTTTTTTTTCCTTTAACATAAAGAGATTTAAATAAGAGTTTGATATGCCTCTTACTGGTCTGGTAAGAGGTTAGGTCTGATTCAGGTTGTTAGATACCACACTTAGAAGCCTCTGACTCAGTCCTGACTCCTCTGAAATGTCTCTTACTCAGTGAAGATTCATGGTTGAATCTTGTTCAGTCAGACCTTGACTCAATCAGATCTGACTCAATCAGCAACTATCAAACAGCCCCTAAATTGTGTAATTTGAAAAGTTGTTACTTGCAGTCTGTCAATCCAAACGGACCCAAATGGTGGAATTGTGATAGACAATCTTGTAGCTATCCAAGTGAGCAACTTTAATCATGCAATTAGTCTTTATAGGCTCGGAAGTCAACTTAGGTCAACTGCTTCCACGAATTCGAATAAAGCTTCTAGTAGATCTCATTGGTAACAAATTATGATCCAAAATTATGATCCAATAAACAAAAATAAACAGAGTTTTTCAAATACTTTGTGTTTGTTGCAGCATGATACGTATGTCAATGACGTGTTGTGATGACACCGAGAGACGAAAGATTACAAACAAAATTTGGATGGTTGATTTGGGAGGAAGTGAGCGTGTGTTAAAAACTAAAGCATGGGGAAGAAGATTTGAAGAAGGAAAAGCTATCAATCTTTCCCTTTCTGCCCTTGGTGATGTCATCAATGCCCTTCAAAAGAAAAACAGCCACATACCTTACAGGTAAATTTAACATGAAAGAATGCTTAAATAAATGTTGTTCTTCATCTCCACCATTGAAGTTAAAGTACGAATTCTTGTGTTTTACAGGAATAGCAAGCTCACACAAGTTCTCAAGGATTCATTAGGTAACTTCATAGCTATCATAAAATCATAAATCAAATCATAATCTCTTAATGTTATTCTAAGATCAATTGTTTTGTCATTTTAGGAGAGGATTCCAAAACATTGATGCTAATTCATGTGAGTCCCAAAGAAGATGATTTATGCGAGACTGTATGTTCTCTGAATTTTGCATTACGATTGAGAAGCATTCACTTAGGGAAGACCGAATCAAATGTGAGTCACTCAATAAATAAATAAACTCTAATTTACGCTTTTTTTTTTAAATAAATACTTCAATTTTCGCTTATACAGGAAGCGAGAACAGTTAAGGAATTAGCCATGGCTGACCTGCAACATGAGATGGTAGAGATCGAGCACAACCGTGATAGATTCATGAAAGAAATCAAGAAGTTGAATCAGAAATTGGATTCTCTAACAAAGAAATCATCAGGTTCGATTGGGAAATCGGAAATTGAAGATGTAATTACGAAAATCCCATTGTCGACGTCGAAGATGCCGAGTTTTATGAAGCCTACAATCTGTAGTACACGAAAATCAGGAACAGGTTATCAGAATTCGTATAAGAAAGAGATTAGACATGAAAGAAGGAAGAAACAATTACCGATATCTCGGGCAGAATCTGTGAGTTTTCCTATAAAGGGCCTGACCGAAAGCTACTCGGGCAGCAGTATCTCAAGAGCAAGCTGCTTGGTGGATTTGAATGAGACAGAATTCAGCCATGAAACATCACAATGTAGCTTTAGAATTAGAACGAACATAAACAAACAGAAAAATTCTCTCAAGAACTCAAATGATAAGCGTGTTATTTCAATCCCGACTCCTGTAAACAAAGGAAAGTCTACGAAAAAGGGGGAAACTACAAAACAAATGATAGGTGTAGATGATTCATCTACTGAAGGAGATATATTTTGTCAAATTATGCCATGTGATACCATTAATGACACCTTTCATCAAGATGATTGTGTTAATGGAGTTGAAGGGGTAGTTATATCAAAAGTGTCAACACAAGAAACAAGGTGCTTAGAGGTTTGTAAATTGAAAGAAGACCTACCTACCAATGTTCCTACATCAGATTTTGATACTAGTGTCGAGAGTTCAAAAGTTTCCTTTTTGATATCAGAACTGAAAGAATATATTCTGATATTCTACTACAGTGTTCTTGTAGTATTGGGATTCGAAAGCTTGGGTTTTCAAGATGATTTCTTCCGATCTTTAATTAATTAAAGTTGCAAAAATGCAAAAAGGTTATTGGAAAAAGATTCATGATGTATAATGTATTAATGTAAATATATGGAACATATTGTATAGTGACAAGTAACATGTACATTCATTAATAAATTTTGTTTTTCTATGCAGTCAATTCATATTAAAATTCACATGATATGTATCTAGATATAGATAACTTCTCATACAAATTCATATTTGTAGGTATGTGGATATATCAAAGAAAATCAAGTTGCAAAGATGAAATAACTCTTAAAATTCAACCCTTATTAGTCTATTTAACTCAGACAAAACTTCATGTATTCTTTCATATTGAGGATGCAAACTGTTTCCAGAAACAAACTCATGAACTCTATTATTCAATTCAATGCAACTCACACCTGATATCTTCTTCACACCAGTATCTCTCATCACTTTCCTTGTGAATCCAGCTTCATTCCACTGGCCCACAGAAGAATATATATTCGAAAGTAAAGAAAGGTTTCCACTATTATGTGGCTCCAATTTGATCAAATGTTTTAAAGCTCTTTCCCCAATCTCCACATTTCTATAAAGTCTAGATGCTGCAAGAAGTGAACCCCAAATAGCTGCATTTGCTTCAAAAGGCATTGAGTTTAGTACTTCTTGTGCCTCACATATGCATCCAGATCTTCCTAGTAGATCAATCATGCATCCATAATGTTCAATCCTTGGTTTAATTCCATATCTTGGAAGCAAATTGTTGAAATACCAAAGACCTAATTCCACCAATCCCCCATGGCTACATGCTGAAAGAACTGCAATCAGTGTAACTTCATTTGGCCTAACATGAGCTCTTTCCATTCTAGAAAATATTTCAAGAGCTTCTTTTCCTAAACCATGTGAAGCCAATCCAGTAATGGCAGTTGTCCATGTTATAACACATCTATCTTTCATGTTTTCAAAGACCCATATTGCTTTCTTTATGTTCCCTGATTTTGCATACATGTCAATAAGTGCATTGTTGAGGGATGTAGTTTTGTGTATATTGTTTTTATCTATGTAGTTATGAATCCATTCACCTAGCTCTAATGCACCCAATTGGGCACAAGCTGAGAGTGTGACTAACATTGTGACTTCATCAGGGAGCACTCCATCTGTTTGCATTCTTCTAAAAAGAGCAACAGCTTCACAAGGCTTGTTCACTTGAGCATAGCCTGAAATCAAAGATGTCCAAGAGATCACATTTCTTTCAGGCATAATCTCAAACAAGGCACAAGCTCTCTCCACCTCATCAACTTTACAATACGCAGAGATCATTGCGTTCCAAGTTGCCACGTCTCTTAGGGGCATTTCGTCGAACACCTTCCTTGCATCGCGAACATACCCACAAGACGCATACATTTGAACTAACGCTACTCCTACATGAACATCGGTATCAAAACCAGCACTAATTACATGACAATGAATCCATCTTCCGAAACTCAAACCACCCTCACCCAAACGACTCACACCCTTTAACAAAAAAGGAAATGAGTAAGAATCAGGTCTTAACCCAATAAATCGTGCTTCGTTGTAGATAAAGACAGCGTCTTTGACACGAGAATTACTCGAAAGAGCTTTGATCATGGTGTTGTAAAGGTATATATTCTTGCGAGTCTTATGAAAAAACACCGAAGTAGCATGGTCCAAAAGACCTTTGTCAGAGCAAGTGACGATGAACCGACTGAGAAGAAGATTGTCTTGATCGAGACCTCGAACAAACATGAACCCATGTATTTGATATACGTGAATGATGCTGGAGCAGTTGTATAGCAATGAAGATAATATATCATGTGGTGTTGCTGCAATGTATCGGCGTTTATGCTTCAGGAGTAATGAGTTCAAAGGTGATCCAACACGAGACAGCATTCGAGTAAACTGGAGCTCCTTAACGCCGTTATGGCCAGAACACCACCCCCCCCTTATGGCGTTATGCCATTATGTTAAGAGGCGTTGCAAACGGTCAAATTCAAACGGTCAACAATATTAATTTTTTTTTACCTATAAATACATCATCTCCTTGGTTTTTATTCACATTATTATTTTTTTATATTTTATACAATTTCAAAACCTCTTCAACCAAAAAATGGAACAAAACTCAAACGTTCATCAGCCAGACTCACAACTGAACACAACCTTTTTGACGTTTCAGACGCAGAATCTCACATCGACCTCAACACCGATTCTGATGAGATTTCGGATGACATCGAAGAGATCTCCCCTCCACGAGGAGCAGCAGGACGCAAGAAAGCGAAGCATGTGGAAAAAGTTGACAGAAAAGCAAAACATTAGGTTAAAATTAGAACAATATTCCAAGAGCACATACAACTACAACAAGAAAAAAATGATTTGTTAAGTGAGTATTGGAAAATACTTCGGGAACAACATGAGGCAAAAGAAATGATGAACGACTTGGCAATTGTTAATAGTAGCACCGAAGGTTTGGCGCCCAAATATGAGAAAGTGGTACCAAAGGTTGAGGCATTGAAGGAGAAGATTGAAGAAAAATATTTGGGCAAAAATTTGAATTTTATGATGGTTTAATGTTTTTAAGTTATGGTATCTTTTCTTTATGATCTTGTAATGTTTTTGTTTTCAATTTTAATGTTATGGTTTTACTTAAATAGTATGCTTTATACAATTGTATTTGTTTTTTGTTTTAATTATTAAACAAACTGAAACTCAAAAAAGAAAGAAAAAATGATATGGAAATTATTTCTTAACAATCTTTTTATTCTCTTCGATTTTCTCGAAGGTTCTTCATCAACATGTTTTTCAGACTTCACAACTGTTGGTTTCCTTTTGTTAATAGAGCAACATCAGCTACATGGCCTCAAGAACTTGGCCCATAAACAGAATTACATTGCTATTTCCATCTTTATATTATGATTATGTTAGAAACACAATCTTTATAACCCGCAACCCATCATGTAAAAAAAAAAAAACAATCACCTTAACAATGTATGAGAAACAAGAAAATTGCACCCGTATCGACATATCGATGGGTTTTTTTTCTTCAAGAATACAATGACAAAATCCGATTGAGCCAAAATCTAGGAGATATTTCCTAGCACAACAATGGCTAAATGCAAGAAGCCATGAAGCCTGAATTTGTGAAAACTTAACAATAAGATTATACGCGAATACCCAACTCGGAAATCCGCATTATTTTTTTATTCATAGCAAGTCGTTTCTGTTTCAAAGATGATGCCATGTTGGCAACCTGGTGGATAAGTGGGACCCAAAGTTTAGTTTTAAATTTAACTTGAATTAAGTGTTGTGAATTATGATGAATGTGGGAATTGGATTTACCTCTCCTCGTAGTCGCAAAGCATCTCTACCAGGAATTTCTCGCAAATCATCCACCAGATCTGTTTAAATTCAAGACATATAAAGTAAGATTATAATAAATAAACAAAAATCTTGTAATTTTAGACAATAAAATGATAACTTATGACTTTCCATTCCATTCCTTGATTGAATGGGCAAATACACCCCATTATAATGCAATAAAAAAAAATTATTAAAATGGAAGGAATCAGGTTTCAGGAATGGTCGATTCCATTCCAACCACTCCATTCCTTCTTCAATCTATTTGATGTGACTTGTGATAATACCTTTAGCTTGACTTTCAGCTTTATGAACCGATTTAGCAAGACTTTTGATCTGGCCTCCAGCATTCCTTCATATAAATTATCAAAAATAAGCTAATATTAGATTACTGTATGGATAATAAACGATGCTTAAAAGGTTTTTTTACATCAAGTCAAAAAGAAAGTCATGTCTCCATTAGGTCAATTAAGTCAAAAAGAAACAGCACCTTAGTTCACCGTAGCCATAAGTCATCTCTTTCTCAGCAAGAGCAGCCCTTTCAAGTAATTTTTCACTCTCTTTCTTCATTAACTGAACTGAAATGGTTAAGTGATTTACGTTGTTTGCAGCTTTTATTATCTGTGCCTATTGCAAACAAAAGAATGTTTTAGAAGAAAAAGATAAAACCTCAAAATGACCATATTTGTAAAACTGATAGATCATAAGCCAGTAGATGAAAAGAGTTAAGAGTAAGTAAGTACCTCCTCAGTCTGAAAGCGACCCAATGTACGACGGAATAAGAACCTTCTAGGGCCTTGAATGAAATAATAATCACTTATAAAGATCAAAAAGTATATAGAAACTTTATTCATGGTTTTATACAGAAAATGAATTGAAGATCAAATTGAAAAAAAAAAAAGATACTTTCTTTACCTCTCATGAGGAGAAGAGCAGCTGTAATTGCAATTCCAGCAGATAAAGTTGGGTGTTCTCTTGCAATTGTGAGTTGATCTGTTAAGACACAAAAGTATGAGAGAAAACTAATCCAAGAAATATCAACTTATCAAGTCTCTAAAATATGGCATCACCGTTGATTTTTTATCATGAAATAAATGTTTGGTAGTTGTAAAAAAGAAAAATTCACCTTTGATCTTACTGAAAACCAAATCTTCGTAACTCCTATACTGTGCTGTGTATTGAACTACATGATCCTGGAAATGAACATGAAAAGTAAGACTTAAAACAAGTTCAAACAATGCTAGTAAAAGGGAAAGAAAAAAAAGGCATGATCCTGTGATCCCCATTAATGAAGATGAATCAACTCCAAGTGATAATCATTATCCCGACCTTTCCCAAATTTTTAACCTTAAGAACCGGAAAAGTGATGGAGAAGCTAGAAAAACGATCAAGAGCAGAAATCAAATGCCAAATACCATTATAATAAATTGATGTACGATTTTAACTGATAATCACACAGAACAAACTAGAAGGGTAATAAAGTTAACAATCAGATTGCATAAATGAAGGAGAAAGAACTAATTTGGCTCCAACTTATGCTGCATAAAACTTATATTCTTGAGAAGGATTGCCAGTGTCTTATGTTAAATTCATATTCTAGGGGAACAATTCTGATAATCTAATTGAGTATTTAAGTCGTATGCTGAAAAGAGCTTCTAATGTGCACCATCTTCTTAACCTACCCGAAATATAAGCATGTATACACAAACTTGAATCATGCTTGATCATTTATGTATCAATCTGTCTCTGGTTTACATATAACGGAGGTATGTGATTACATTAAGCTAAGTTTCATACTAAAAGCAATAGAATCTCAATGACAAGCAATCATCCCATAGATGAAAAAGCCACCTGAAATAGCATGCAAAGAGATACAGATACGCATTAACGCATACGAACAGCTAGACTATGCATCAATATACCAATTTTAAATTATCATACTAGTCCTTAATAAAATCCATCATAGAACGCACGCAGATAAACAGTCATCGTATATACGGAAGCCCTAACTATAAGGAAAGCTGAATAGGAAATGAAACGCACCCGAACATGAGACATAGATATAAATAGAGTACCTGAAGAGTTCGAATATGAGTGGACGAATTCTGCTGCAGCGACCGGGCGGAGCGAACGGCGGAATCGGCAGATTCCTGAACCGTACGAGGTAGATCCTCGTAAATGTAGGAATGCCATGGCTTTTCTTGCTGTTGATTCTCCGCTGTCTCGTCTGCGGTAGTGGACGGTGAATTAGCGGCAACGTCGCCGATCATGTTCGCCTTGCTCCTCCGTTTCTCGATCTCCCAATTTTTTTCAGCTGATTCCTTCTTCAACCTTTTGCCCTTTTCTTCTTAGTTTTAGGATTAATATCATCAAATATTATTTCACGTCCCAATTACCCCCTTAATTTCATTAAATAGCTAAATAAAGCCCAAATATATTGATATTAGTGAAAAATATATTATTTTTTATTTTTATTTTAGAAAAATTACACCAATAACTTCGGGGTAATTTATACGGCTGCTCCATATTTTATTTAACTCGGTTCATATGGTTTGGTTTTTTACTTGGTCCTTACCACCTTAAAAAGATTGTTTCCCTTCCTAGATTTTTTATTTTTTTTTTTAATAATGTCATTAACAAAATTAGTAAATAGATATGACGCCCTAGCCCACCCCCTCCCCTCTACCTCTAATCCCTTCTTTTTATTTTATTTTTTCTCTCTTGTAAATTGGGCTCTCTCTCTCTCTCTGATTTATGGGTTACAAGATAAAGATCTCTCTCTCTCTCTCTCTCTCTCTCTCTCTCTCTCTCTCTCTCTCTCTCTCTCTCTCTCTCTCTCTGATTTTTGGGTTACAAGATAAAGATTTGCACAGTTGAATTCACATTAAACAATTTTTGGGTACATGTAACCTAGAGATCCCTGACTTCTCTCATTATAGCAACATAGTTATGAAACAATGAACTCATCTATGTATAATCAAAATTCACAAGGATTAGAATACATAGATTTGTTATAATCGAATACAATAAGATAGATCTTTAAGTCTTCCTTTGAAAAGCAAACACCAATAGTGTGGAATTTTATAATAACTCACACCCAGTACACTAGAAACCTTAGGAACAAAACGGGAGAGAGGAAAGAGGAAAAGGTTTTAATTTCTTGCTTGTAAAGGCTAGGGTTCAAAATGGTTAACCAAGGACCCTATTTATAGTTGGTGGAAACTTTAATTTGAATAATAAAATAATAATACTTTAAACATATTTAAATTAGTTTTATTATCAGTTATAGGTGACTTCAAGAACCTGTCTGGATCCACCCTAAAACCATCCAAGTTATAGAGGTTCAAGAATTGTCTCCCTTACTCAACAATTAAACAATTACAATTCAACTACTGCACTTAATTAATTCTAATTAATCCAAAATTAATTTCCAAATAATTATGATTAATTTTAAACTAATATTTAACCATTTCTAATTTATTTATCATATAATAAATTATTAAATCATTTCCTTACTCCTTTAAAATCATTTCTAACTATTTCTAGTTATTGAGGAAACACAAAAAGGACTTTGTTTTTATTTTATAAAATTATATCAATTTAGTTATGACCTTAGATACCTAATCCAACAGTCTTCCACTTGGATAAGTCATAAAATACAATTGTAAATATAGACTTCATGTAACACCCAACCAAATCAGGTAATTTCCTTTCTTGACTTAAAATGTAAATTTGTTGCAAAAATGGTCCCTGCATTGAGCGTACTTGGGGCGTACGTTGGGCGTAGGTCATTAAAAGGTAACGTCGATGCTTTTGAGAACATAGGGTACACTCAAAGGGTATGCAGGGCGTACTTGGATGATATGCAAACCCTAAATTCAAAGTCTTGAGCCCTGTTTAAACACCTTAACCCTCGTAAATCCCTTCCACCTTCAGCCTCCATCCTCCTAAACGAACCCTTGCAAACCCTAATATTCATTTGAGAGTTTTTGAGCTATTTAAGTTTTTTGTGTTTGTAACACCCATAAAATTCAAGCCAATTTAAAACTTTTTAAAACATTTAAAACCATTAAGTTATTACAGTTTGTTTTCAAAATAATTTAATCGTCAGAGTATCCCCATAATCAAATCATAAAATCATGAAATGTGAGGAGTTGTACGATCACGCCTTCGCCTTCCCGCGATCATCAGAAGTACTTGAAACAATAATCGATAAATGTAAGCTCGAAGGCTTAGTGAGTTACCCCCAAAATACCAACGTCATACAGATATAATCATATCATATAACATATAAGCAAACAACATGCATAATGAGCCTTTAGCCTGACTGGACCGCCTCACAGATCTTCAGCCTATCTGGACCGCTCTCCACGCCTTCAGCACGTTTGGATCGCCTCGCAGGGCCTACAACCTATCCGAACCGCTCTCTGGGCCTTCAGCCTAACTGAACCCCTTTGCAGGACCTTCAGTTTATCCAGACCGCCCTGGGTATGTTAGCCTTCAGCACAAAGCAGGACCGCCTTAACACAACCCCAATCACAAACATGTGCACATACATATCATACATATCATACGCTAGCATATATAACAGTCAAACCGATCTAACCAATCACTAATCATAGCAATATCCTATTACCAGTATACAAACCTAACCGGTCACTAACATAGCATATGACCATCCTAACTACCAGGATGTAAATCAATAAGCATATCATGAAATAAACCCGAATCCAAATCCGATAAGGGCTGACATTGGTGCCTTAAACCCAGTTGATATAGTGAGGATAACTCACCTAGCACTGCTGAAGTCTCGTGGATAAAACTCCAGCTGTTGGTTGACAGATTCCCCATTTATCAACATCAAACAATACCCAATTAATAATTGGGTTCCAAACCCAAGGTCCAACTCACACACCAAAGGCCCAAAAGTCGAGTAATGGGTCAAAGTCCAACATATGGCCTAATTTTCCAAATTGGGCCCAAGCCTCTACATGGTCTTTCCTTAAAGACCATTCAATTATTCTAGTCCACTCCTGGTATTCTCATGGCCCAATATCACATAATCATTAAGGCCCAATTATGGTCTATCTATGGCCTAATTATCCAAACGGGGCCCAAGTCCTTCACATGGGCCTTATCTTAAAGCTCATCCAATTGTTTTAGTCCATTTACTTGTTCTTGGATAGCCCATCACTGACCCAATCACCAAGGCCCAAAAGAAAAGTCCCAAATCAAGGCCCAAGTGAAATTAGGTTTTTCACATGAAATGACGATTAGGGTTAAGTGTTTCTTACTTAACCCATTAAGGACTTAGTCCATTAAGTCCAATATTGTCTTAGGTTAATTGCAAATGATTATTAATTACCTTTTCAAGCTTGTTAAATAATTCTCGTGCGTGTCCCGATCAATCCCCAAAACTAGGGTTTCATGACATTAGGGTTTATCAAACCCTAATTAGGGTTTCCAACCCAACACTAACCCATTAGTCACTTGGTTGGGCTTTTAAGTCAAATCGGGCTTCATTGGTCCCATTATGGTTTTATTAGGCCCATTACAATTTTTTTAGGCCCACTAGGGTTTTATTAGGCCCATTTTTCCAAGCATCCCAAACGAGTCCAAATGCAAACAAGGCACACCGCCACCCAACACGGCGGCTGTCGGCGGAAGGAGGTGGCAACCACCACCTCAAGGTGGTGGTTATGAGTTTCTTTTCATTATTCCTTTACTAATTACAACATACAACACAAAAAAGACCAGTTAAACACACACACTAAATTAATCACACACACATAACCGTTCTGTGGCAGTAGGTGGTGGTCGGAGGTACTAGCCACCACTTCACGGTGGTGATGGTGACTCATTTTTGATTCCAGATTACACAACCCACACATAACACCCTAACAATGGAAACAAACCCAAAAACACTTATGTTTGTGAAATAGACCCAACCACCCACCTAGTGGCGTACGACGGTGGTGGTAGTGACTGAGCTAGGCGGCAACAACATCGGTTAACTGCAACAACTTCATTATCAGTGGAAGCCACCCTAGTCGGCTGCTATAGTGGTTCTTCATGCCTTTCATTCGACAGAACCCACTCCCACACGCAATCACATAACAAACCACAAACCCGACCACCATGTCATGGCAACATGCGGCGGATACAGGGCATCAGTGGTGTTGAGAGACCTCCAAACGGCAGCAGTGACATAGTCATATAGAGAGAAATGAGGAGAGGAGGAGGTTCGTCGTCGTTAGTAGCAATGAGAGCAATGGCGGCGTCATCTTGGTGATTCTCAACTTCAACAGTGGAGGGGCAGTGGTCCAGTGACATCACTGCAACAGAAGAACGGGGAGTAGAAGGGATTACAACCCCGACCTTGCGAATAGCAGCAGTGGCAACCGCAACTTTGCTTCTTCCAACAGACTTCACAGTCACGATTTCGGCTCAACTCGTTCCTTCATCGGTGATGACCTCAAAGGCTTCAATGGTCCACTAAGGTGTCAAGATGTTGGCGGCTACCGGAAGTGAAGAAGGAGTGTGGCGGTTACCTCTCTTTTCAGGGTTAGGGTTTAGAACCGAGGGTGACAGGTTTATATACCCCGATCCCCCATAACTTGTTTCCTTAATAACTGAAATGGTCCCTCCAACCCCCATTTCTTTCAAAATGAATCCTTAATTTACCATGGGAACCCCTCCTTTTAAAAATCCTTACAAATCAAGTCTGAAATATTTACTAAGCAGCCCCTGCTTGACAAATTCATTTCAACTTAAGGTACATAATTTACTCTTTAACCCTTGTTTCCATAAATCCTCACATATTAAGTCCAAATAATACCAAATACCCCCTGACCACTGAAAATCTTTACAAAATAAGTCCTGAAATTACACTTTAATCCTTGGAGATTCAAATCTTATCATTTGGCTTCCCGAAGACAACACCCCACCTTTTATTATTATTTGATCTTGGACTATAATAATATAAAATAATAATAAAATTACTTCTCGGGGTTTCGGGTTTATTATTTAATTTTTCTATTTAAACGGGATGTTACAATTCTCCTCCACTTATATTTGATTTCATCCCCGAAATCGCTTCTTATCCTTCCTTACCCGCCAGGCAACTTGAACTACATGGCCACAACTACAAGCATACCCCAGCCTTTCCAAGACAACCGCAACCAACCCTTGCAGGGTTCTAAAATCTGAAGATAATCGAGTTCCTTGTAATATGATCATAATTACTCAATCCCAAAATCTGAAGTCTCAAGATGGTCTAGCTCCCTGACAGACCGCCCACACAGAATCATTGTCGAATTCGTTGCACTTATCTCCCAACTGGTTACTCAACTTCTGATAATATGGGGTTTCTACTAGAAGATAAAGTTAGGGACCAAATTTCCCTGCAGTACACTTATACTTGATAGAAAACTCATCCAGAATACCGGTTTCCTGCCCAGTTGTTGAACCAATGAGCGATCTTACAGTCGCCCCACGTGATTCCCGAAGAAAACTTCGACTGGCATTAACTACTATAGCTAAATCGCCACTCATGGATCCATCAATCCTTCTGCTCCATTCGACCATAAAAGTCTGACAACTTGTTTCCATTGAAACAAATACGAAAAGTGAGCGCTATCAGATTACTACATTCTTACATCATGTCCGGTCTCCAACGACCTATAGTTTTCTGATTCCAATCATGACGTGGTCTACCCAATATCTCACGAGCTGGCTAACCCTGGTCTAATCATCTGGAAGAATTTGTGAATGCTACGGTTAACCCCGCAGTCTTACAACACTTTCTTCAAAACACAACCGCAACCCGATGCCTTACCCTCAATCTATCAATCCAAATACCCTTAGAGTCGAGCACACACTTAACCGAACACCCGAACTGAACTCTATACATGACTAGAACCCCAACCTGATTCCCTAAATTCTGCTACCAACAACCAAGAAGATGCGATACACATGCTAAGGAGTTTTACCGAACTCCCAACTCATACAACCCCTAAACCAAACAACCACTTGGGCCACCATCCTACTTAACGAAAATGTGAAACTTATTCCAGTTCCAAAGTCAATACTGCTTCTGAATCCCGTGATAACTCTCCCCTACTTAGATTCGAATAAGTCTTCACAATACATGAAAGTTGGAGAATTACCAATCATTCTCACTTTCCAACAATCGATCTAATGATAACCAACTCTTCCCAACTAGCGCTCCATTACCAGCCAATCCCAAGTGATCACACACTTCTAAGAACTAGCTGAACACTTCTTGAATCCCAGTGAAACCGATAGTCTCTATTACCTGAATGATCACACACTTAAATCTTGAAGACCTAAAAATAGGTGCTCCAACTAATATCTCAGCAACGAGCTACTTCCCTTGGTGCTCTCATCCGCCAATCAATAACGGTTACTAAAACCACTGAATCCTGACAATGCTGAACAACTATCCTGTGGGACCCTGCCCACCAACTTCCCACATAATACCCTTCTTCCCAAGGTGCTCCAAACTAATCTCCCATTCTCGGCTCTACAAATCATATCATTCAGGGTCTCGTACCCTGGCTCACTCACCAACTCAGTCGTCCACAGCTGAACTGCAGTAACTGAAGCAACCTCTACCCTATACCAGGCTACAAACTACTCCCAAGACATAGTCTCCAAATCAAATGTGCAGTAGATCACACAATCAATCATTACGGCCCAATACAAAAGATCCCAGACGAATCGGATCTCAACTCCCATGGGTCAGAACGGTAGTCATGTACACCTCGTAAGATACTCATGCCACATCAACCTACTTGTGCACTCCAGTGCTAACATGTCATCGCCAACCATTGCGACTAACAGTCCCCGAGCCGAAAATACAACCTAACCACAGAAAAAAAAATTGTAAGGCACAATCCTTGCTCTATAAAACGAAATTCCAATCTATCAATCGACCATTCTACTTCTAGCTGCAAAACTCTAGCTGAACATAATCATCACTCCTTTCCGGAGTCCCCGCGACTCGCATTCTGTCCTCTAGAAACCCCACCCCCACCCCGAAGCCTTAAATCCCAAAACTCTTGTGCTAGCCTCTCCCACTCAACTTGCGGAATATAACGAGTACAGATCATCTACCTGATCCCAAATAATTGAAGCCCTCTGCTCATCAGAATATGTCTCAGTAACAAGTCTCGGTACTAGGTTGTGACTTATTTTATATGTGTATGGGTCCTGTGCTTTCAGTAGCATGAGCCCATACTACCTTCCACACGTACCCATATTTGTCTCAAGTATCATCACAACGGCCTAACTATATACATAACATGGCGAGTGCGCAATCCTCACTCCTAGAGGAATGCTAAATATCTCATAACTGGTCTCCTGGCCTCACAAAACTCACCCATGAAACTTCCACCAACCCTGCAACACTCATGTATGCTAGCCATACATAACGTTGGACCATATAGACTTTTAAATACCTGGTGCTACCCTAAGCCCTTCATCAAAAAATAATAGTAAATAAGGCCAAACCAAACATTCTTAGGCTATAAGATCTTAATTATGTACAACCATGATGCATACACAAGCAATTAAAATACTGATGTCAATTTCATGTAAGAAAACTCTAGGCTACAAGCATCATGTAATCAGGCAGTTCAATCATGTAATTCCCGAAGATCCCTAGCCTAGTACTAGCATGTTGTTCTAACATATCACAATATCAAATAACCATATGGTATTTTGGGGTCTACTTACTAGCTCCGACTGATCGTACACTCTGCATTCTCCTTTTATAAATCAAAGTTAAGTCAAGGTCCACATTCCTGATCCCAAGCCAACAATCAAACAAGAACATGACAAGAAATTGAGCACATGCCCTTAACCCAACTCTTTTTATTATTATTTATTTTTCAAAAACATTTTGTAAAAACTCTTAGATCCTTATTTGAGATTGGATGCACACAAGTGTTTATCAAATTCACTCAAACCGGGGTTTTGATACCAACTTGTAACATCCATAAAAATCATGCCAAATATAAATGTTTTAAAACATTTAAAAACCAACAGTTGTTACAAATGTGTTTTCAAAATAATTCTATATCAGAGTCTCCCAGAAACAAAATCATAAAAAAATGAAAATTTGTACGATCATGAATTTGCCTTCCCACAATAATCTGAGGTACCTGAAATCAAAACTGAAACTGTAAGTCCAAACCTTAGTGAGTTTCCCCAAAATACTGATACACTACAAATAACACACATACAAATAACAACATGTATTGGGTCCATAGCTTTATAGATTGGATTACCCCTAGGCCCAAAGTATGAGTCTGGCTTGCCTTCCGGACCCATAGAACACATCTGGATTGCCACCGAGCCCACAATACGAGTCTAGTATGCCCTATCCGTCCCTCAGCTCGTATCTTGAATGCTCCCGAGCCTACAATATGATTTTTGCATGCCCTACCTGGCCCCCAGCTCATATCCGGAATGCTTCCGAGTCCTCAGTATGAGTCTGGCATACCCTTCCTAACCCTCAACTCATATCTGGAATACTCTCGAGTCCTTAGTATGAGCATGACATGCGCCGCGTGGGCCTCAACTCATATCTTGAATATTCTAGGGTTTGTTGGCTACCGCACGGAGCAGTACAACCTCAACCCAACCCACATAATATGTCAACATATAATATAACTAATGCACATACAGATAATTAGATAGCAACACATGTAGTCCTACAGATCTACCTTCTAGCATAACGAACTAGCATACACAACTAACACATACTCAACATATCAATAACTACTAGGATATCAAATCCTATGGGACAAACTTGGTGCCTTATACCCCTTAGTATAGTGAGGACACCTCACCTCACACTACTGAAGTTCCGCGGATAAACTCCAGCTGCTGGTTGACAGATTCTTGAGTTGTCAATCATCAAAATAACATCCAATTAATAATTAGGTTTCAATACATAACCATAACTCCATGCTTGGGGTAAAAGGATACTTTACCCTCATCCTAGCTTGATTCAAGCCTAAGGTGCAACTCACACTCCAAGGCCCAAAAGTCAAGTAATGGGCTAAAACCCAACATATGGCCCAATTTTTCAAATTGGTCCCAAACCTCTACATGGTCTTTCCTTAAGGCCCATCCAGTTATTCTAGTCCAAACTCTTGGTATTCTTATGGCCCAATATCATATAATCATCAAGGCCTAGTTATGGCCCACATATGGCCCAATTTTCCAAATTGGGCCCAAGTCCTTCACATGGGCCTTATCCTAAAGCTCATCCAATTATTTTGGTACATTTACTTGTTCTTGGA